CAGCAGCAGGTCTCCCGTGGCTTGTCTCTGTGTGTGTTCACTGAGTTCTCCCTGTCTTGCGTCTTCACTCCGACCGTGATGGCGAGTTCGCCTCTGGCTGCCTTGGTCGCTTCTGTCGTGCGGAGGGCATAACCTAGACGTTCACCCTGGTGGACTCCCCGCAGCAGAATGGGGTCGCTGAGCGACGCATCGGTTTGGTCGTGGAGGTTGCTCGTGCCTCCATGATCCATGCCGGTGCACCCCATTTTCTGTGGACGTTCGCTGTTCGCTACGCTGCTCACCAGCTTAACCTGTGGCCGCAGCCTCAGCGGTCGCAGGTTTCGTCAACCCTCCTCTGGACCGGATCCCCAAGTGACGCGTCTGCGTTCCACGTCTGGGGCTGCCTTGCTCACGTTCGTGCCTCCGGCACGGACAAGCTCACTGCCCGCACCGTCCCGTGTGTCTGCCTAGGGTTCGCCCTCGACTCGTCGGACTGGCACTTCTAACATCCGACCTCTCACCAGTTCTTTCACTCTCGTCACGTTAGTTTTGACGAGTCCGTCTCCTTCTATCACCGCTTTCCCCACCGTGGTCCCCCGGTCACTCCCCCCCAATTCCTGGTGCCCCCCCATCCCCCGGTCGACCCTGTCCACCCCCCTCCTCGCCCTGCCCCGTGTGGTGTATCTCACGTCACCCTCCCGTCGGTTGTCTCTGCTGAGGAGTCCGCTGACTCTCGCGGCTCGGCGGAGTCACTTTCCCTGCCTGTCCTTGCCCCGGTCTCGCCTCCCCTGCTAGTGCCGATGCTGTCCCCGCCGCAGTTGCCTCTGCCGCTGCCGCCACAGCCGCAGCCGCTGTCATCATCGCCGCCGGGGTTCGTGCGTTCTGGCGGTGTTGGGGAGCGGGCTGGAGCTGGTTCTAGAGCGGGCTCTGGGGATGCTGGAGTGGGGCTTCTCGGAGGGAGCCCTGTTGTCGCTGGAGGTTCTGGTGCTGGAGTCGAGCAGCAGTCGCAGCTGTCACCGCCGATGTCCGCTCTTCGCCTCCTCGGTCTCCCTTCCCCTGACCGCCCACGCTGCCTCCCCCGCTGTCGCCGCTTCTTGCTCTGCCGGTCCACGGCCCCGTGTTTCCTCCCCTGGACTCCTCTACGGCTCGTTTCCCTCCCCGTTCTCCTCTTATGCCTCCTACCCTCTCTCCTGACCCGACTCCTCCGTCTCACATCTGGTCTCGTTGTCCGTGTCGTGCTCATCCTACCTCCCCTATTCCACGTTCCCACCCTATGTTGCTTCCCTCTCACGCGTCTCGTGCTCCTCCTATCCTCCCGTCTCCTCCTCCATCGTCACTTGCTGTTGCCCCACCTCCGTTCTCGGACTTCCTCCGTGCTGCGCGTCCCTTTGTTCCTCGTGTCCTTGCCTCACTCGTTACCGACCCGTCCGTTCCTGTCTCGAGTCTGTCGGCTCTTGTCGCTACTGTCACTGACTTCGCCGCAATCCGCTGCCTGGACTACGCCACCGCTCTGGTCTGTGAACCTGCCTGCCCTCCGGGCCTTCAGGGGTGTGGCTGCTCTTGGCAGTGATGTCCAAGAGGACAGGCAGTTCGAGCTCAATTTCCTGTCTGAGGCCGCTTCCCATCTCTGTTCCATGCTACTAGTCCTTGAGGGTGACCCAGACTCCCTCGACATCCCGACGCCTCGCACCTACGCTGAGGCAACCTTGGGACCCTGGGCCTCTTAGTGGATAGCTACCATGGAGTAGGAGAAAGCATCTAGGAGATCCAGCGGTACCTTCATCGACGCAGTTCCCGCACTTGGGGTGAACGTAGTCGATGGCCGGTGGCTCTTCAAGGTGAAGTGCCCTCTTGGAGAGCCACCTGTCTTCAAGGCGCGCTATGTCACTCGAGGCTTCAGTCAGCGTGAGGGGGTTGACTTCTTTCAGACCTTCGCTCCGCCCCCGAAGATGACCACTCTTTGGGCGATGCTACATGTAGCAGCAAAATGTGACTACGAGATGCGTTCCTCCAGGGCGGTCAACACGGGCAGGTCTACCTGCGCCGCCCCCACGGCTTCTCCGCCACCGAGTGGCTCCACCGGCACCCCGTCTACGGCTTGCGACATGCGCCCCGTGACTGGCACGACACGCTGCGTGCTACACTTGCTGACTTGCAGTTCTTCCCTTCGTCTGCAGACCCCTCACTCTTTGTCCGTTCCGGCCAGAATCTGTTCTACATCCTTGTCTACGTAGATGAATGGCTCTTTGCTATTGCAGAGAGAGACGCACTGGCCGCAGTAAAGGCCGAGCTACTGAGGAGACACACCTGCACTGACCTACGAGAGCTGCGCCACTACCATGGACAGAGCAGCGCGCACCATCACTCTCATAAAGTCACACTTGGTGCGCCAGGTCCTACAGAGGTTCAGCCTTCAGTTCTCTTCCGCACAGTCCACCCTTCTGCTAGTAGACCTTAGACTCTCCGCCCCAGTCCCTGAGGAGGCTGTAGAGCCTAATGGTCCCTACGCATAGTTGGTGGGTTGCCTCATGTACCTGATGACTTGCACTCGTCCAGATCTCGCATACCCTCTCAGCATCCTGGCTCGCTTTGTGGCCCCATTCAGACACGGACCACAGCGCTGGTCGGCAGCTAAGAGGGTTTTGCGTTATCTAGCAAGTACATCGGGCATGGGGCTTGTGCTAGGAGGACGGAGACTAGTTGTCCTTATTGGGCACACATAAGCTTCTTGGGAAAACAACTCTGAGACCCTCAGGTCCTCACATGGCTACTCCTTAAGCTTTGTTGCAAGTGCCATCTCGTCGAGGTCCACCTGCTCCTCGTCTGTTTCCCAGTCTAGCTGTGAGGCTGAGATCTACGCAGGTGCCATGGCGGCACAAGAGCTCTGCTGGCTGACCTTCTTGCTCACCGACTTGGGTGAGCGGCCTACCTTTGCCACGGTTGATTCTCTCTCTATCTCTAGAAAGGGTACCGGGGAGGCTTTCCTCGGGGAAGGTGGATATATAGAGCCTAACCCACCTGATGACATCCCTTCTTGTCCAAGTGGTTAAGACTGGTGACATTATGACATGGTATCACTGGTCTGTGTGCTCGGTAAGGACCACTGGTCTGCATCCTCCAAGGGCTACTGCTTTAGCCTTGGTGCAGATGCCATCTCGTGGAGGTGCTCTCGCTCCTCGACTGTTGCCCGGTCTAGCTGTGAGGCTGAGATATACGATGGTGCCATGGCGGCACAGGAGCTCTGCTGGCTGACCTTCTTGCTCACCGACCTAGGTGAGCGGCCTAGCACTGCCCCGATTCTGTACGCAGACAACAGGGCCATGATCGTCGTGCGTCAGGAGCCGAGACTCGAGGGCAGAGCGAAGCAGATCCAGCTGCGGTACTTCCTCCTGCGCGAACTACAGCAGCATCGCCTGGCCAGCGTAGTACGCTTGGCCTCCAGTGCCAACACAGCTGATATCTTTACGAAGGCGCTTGCGCCTAAAGATCATGAGCGGCATTGTGTACAGCTAGGTCTCGTTCCTGTAGCCTCTCACTTGCTAGGACCTTGATTGTGTACATACCTTTATATATATTACCCAATCTTGCCTTGTGGCCTCTTTCCAGTGGCTGGACTAGTAGTGCCACCCTGGTCTTGCTCTTGCCTTGTTTGTACTGTTTGACTGGTTTTTAGACCCTTGCCTCAGAGGCTGGACTAGTAATGCCACCTTGAGTTGTTTCTCTCTAATCAGGCACTGCCCCTATCGAGTCTAGGGGGTGTGTCAAACATACAAACATATATATTGTATGTCACAGTAGACTATATACGGTTGTGCCTCAGGGAGTATAACCCTTTATGCTATATACCCCTGTATGTCCTGTTCTAGTTAACTTTTCTCACTGTAACATGATGGACTTCGCCGAAATTTTCTCACGGGGGTGGGAAGTGGGGGAATGTCTCTGCTTCTGAAGGACTTATACAATTTTGCGCCCCAGAGGGAGAATACCAAATGCAGCGCGAGAGAGAGGGGGGGCGGGGTGTGGGAGGGGGGGGCGAGGTCCTAGTGGCTGGGTTATCCGGAATGCCCCCTCCGAGAATTTTGTTTCACCCGGGATGCCCCCGTTGCGAACTTCTCTAGATTCCGCGTTCCCGGAGGGCACATCCGGTTCAAATCCCAGAAACAAGCACTTTTTTTTGGGTTGTGGAACAACCGTTTGTGATCGATCGGACGAGATTTTTCTTTCAATTTTTGTTAAAAATGATGAAATATTTTCAGGTGTGGGGGAAAACTTCTATTTCATTTATGGTGACATATTGTACTGCATAGATTGATTGTTGCCTAACTGTCTAAAATGGTTGTTGCGAGGATATAAACTACAGTGTAATATAGAAATTACACTACAATTTACATCAAGAAACAAGGGTCGAAAGCAAAAACAGGTACTAACATTCTCCATTATTTCTCGTGGCGTGTTTTTGTCGATGACTAAAATAGGCGATCGCTTCCCCAGCTGAGTGGGGGAAGTCAAAAGCCTAGATTTGTCGCAATAATTTAGGGGGGGGTATTCAATCTGAATGCCTAAATAATGTATTGCTTTAATGTAATAAACTTCGTGAATACCAAAATCTGAATTGCAGTTATCGCTCCTTCTTGAGGAGAGAGTCAAGTGATCCTTCTTGAAACGATAAGAGGAATCCAATTTTTGACATCCACGAAACTCATTGCCACGAGTACCCATGCACTAAAGACTTGAATTAAGCTGCATGCATCATGCAAAAATTAGAAGTCGAAATAAGGGAAATATGATGCAGTCCAAAAAAACCAGCGAGGCACAGAGCAAAGTTCAACAACACCCAAAAGGGTGGACCCTGCAGCCACACCACAAAAACTAATGAAAAAAAGGGGGGAAAACAAGTTACTAAAAGCTGTAGAAATAAAAAGGACGAGCATGAATTGGGAAAAAATATCAGTGCAACGTAGAGAACTAGTTCGCACACGTAAGGCCTAGCAACAGGTGAAGCAGAACCCCAAATAGGAGCACGAGAGAAGAAAGAAATGAATGAGAGAGGGAGCAGCAAAAGAGAGAGCGAAAGAGAAAGAGAGAGGGAGAGAGAGAGAGGGAGAGAGAGAGAGAGAGAGAGAGAAAGAGAGAGAGAGAGAGAGAGAGAGAGAGAGAGAGAGAGAGAGAGAGAGAGAAAGAGAGAGAGGGAGAGAGAGAGAGGTAGAAGGGGGTGGAGAGAGAGAGAGGGGGGGGGAGAAAGAGAGGGAGAGTGAGTGTGAGAGAGAGAGAGGGAGAGGGAAAAAGAGTTAGAAACAGAGAGAGAGAGAGAGAGAGAGAGAGAGAGAGAGAAAGAGAGAGAGAGAGAGAGAGAGAGAGAGAGAGAGAGAGAGAGAGAGAGAGAGAGAGAGAGAGAGAGAGAGAGAGAGGGAGAGAGAGTGAGGGAGAGAGTGCGAGGGAGAGAGTGCGAGGGAGAGAGAGAACGAGCATTAGCACAAGCAACATCGTGTACGAGAGAACGATGTACAACAAAGAATATACATAGTAGTGAATACGCAAACGAATGAAAAGCGAATGATGGGGTTGATGAAAATTGATAGTGAGAATGAAGGAGCCGAACGGACGGAGAACGAGAAGGTGCACAGCAAAAAAACCAAAGAGGAGAAACGATGTGTATAATGGGAGAGGGGGTGTGGAGGGGGAGGAGAAGGGAATTGTGTAAGGAGGGAAATTTAGAAGCATCACAAAAAAGTCGACAAGAATCAATACCTATATTGAAAGAAGACATGCGTTGTTTAAGACGCACTGCAAGCAGCACAAAAGAAAATGAAAGGGTAAACAAGAAGGCAACATTGCAATTAAGAATGTTTTGCTGAGATTAGAAAAAAAATAGCTAACTGTTAGAAGGATTGTATAAGAACCCCTAGCCAACCTAACCAACAGAGGAACTGAACTATCTCAAGCGACTTCACTCTGCACATTCATTCTCTATGGCTTATGCTTCCAGTATCCTATGCATTTAGTGGATCAACATGGGCTGCATCCCTTAACTCGACCTAGAAAGGAGGCCGAAATGGATGAAGCCCTGGAATCGGTCTAGATTGCTTGGTCGAAGTGGACAGCAACCCTTGAATTGACCTAGAATAATAGGTCGAAAAGGGCTGCAGCCTTTGATAAACGTAGAATGTTAGGTCGAAATGGGCTGCAGCCCTTGAATCGGCCTTACATGCTAATTCGAAATCGGTTGCAGCCAATGGGTCGATCTAGAAAGCTTTGTTGAAACAGGCTGCAGCCTTCAATCGACTCAAAATATTAGATCAAAATGGGCTGCAGCCCTTGAATCGACCTAGAATAGTAGGTCGGAAAGGGCTGCAGCCCTTGAATCGACTTGAATGCTAGGACAAAATCAGTTGCAGCCCATGGATCGACCTAGAATGCTTTGCAAAATGAGTTGCAGCCTTAAAACGACTAAGAATCAGGGGTCGAAATGGGCTGCAACCCTTGAATCGCCCCAAATGCTAGGCAAAGATGGAAGAGCAGGAATGAAGCCAACGAGAGGAAGGGAAAGCATCAAGAAAGCTATGCGAAAGCTATGCGATTAGAAAGAGTAGAGTAATATTCTTCTCACCTTAAGTAGAAGCTTCCATTCATAACAACACAGGCTGAAGGGCTGGCAAAGAAAGAGAGCAGTCCAGCTACGTTTGGGAAACATGTGAAAGCAACCCTAGCTTGATTGATATTCGTCGTAAAATAAAAACAATAGAATTATTAATGCCGCTAATAGAACAGGTCACGTAGCACAGCCGTTTACAGGGGGCTAGGTAAATGTAAGGTCGAAGGTCCGAGTCATTAGGGGGTTTGTTTTCTTGCCTTCCTAGCTTCCTTTCAAAGTGTTCCCAGACCTTTTCATTGCAGCTGACAACAAATTATCTCCGTTAATGACACTCTATGATGTACTTCACATGAAAACGTGAAGAACGAAATTCATATATTTTTTTCTATGAATGTACAGTTTTAATACATTCCCAATAATGTGAGAAATTTGACTAATATATTACTAGAATGGTATATTAATAATACAATTCTATCTAATGTAAGATTGACGAAATTAACCAAAGAGAATCTGCAATAAACTTGTGTGGTTCATCTAACAGCTCCGCAACCCTGAGACGATTTCGTCGACTCTTGTTTTTTTTTTTTTTTTTTTTTTTTTGTATTCCGAGTATTTACCATAGAAACGTCAGCCCTAGTTCGATATGATGTTGGATCGCGATCCGCTGCGGCGGTTTGAACCGAAGTGCACGTGCAGTGTCAGGATCAACGGGCGTAGTGTCGAGTTGTCAGGAAGGACGAAGCAGATCGCAGAGGAATTTACATTGGTAAAATCAATAGCGATCGAACGAGCGATGCTAGTGAGGCAAAAATCTTCGAGGTAGTTGTTCGCGCTGCAGACATGACATCTTAGCTGACACATTTCGAGAAGCTGGTAGCAGCGGCACTTGCTGATCCTTCGCAACTGATTCGCAAATTTCATGAGATTTTTCCTAACGACCTGCCCGCTAAATTCCCACCCAAGCGACCATTCGAGCATAGATAGAAATGGAACACAAACCTAGCCTATAGAGGCAATTTATGATAATGCAGCTTGAGGAGTTACGAAAGCAACTAGACTACTTGATGGAGAAAAATGTTAATATCTCCTAGCTCGTCACAATTTTCCGTCCCCGGTATTGTTCATGCCAAAGAAGAACGACTGTTACATGATGTGTATTGACTACATGACACCAATTTGAGGCTGCGATCGAATCACATTACCCTATCCCTGGAGCAGACGAACTCAAAAATCAGCTTTGCACAATGTGGGCTTTCTCAAAAATCGATATGCGAGGTGTTTACCACCAGATCCGCGTCGTTTCGAGGACTGTTCTCTGTATGGTAGCTACGAATATGGTTGCCATTCGGCCTCATGAACGGCCATAGAGTTTTCGAATGACCATGAATTTGATTTTAGCCTGTTAGCCAACAAGTGCTTTATAGTTTACCTATGCGACATCCTCGTTTATATCACGACCAGGGAGCAGCACTTAAAGGATCGGAAGCAGTTTTCATGCTATTGTACGAGAACCGCTTGCTCATGAAGGGCTCTAAGTGCGAGTTTTGGAGTTTTTATAGCACGTTATTTTGGCTAAGGGAGTAGAGGCGGACTCGACGAAGATTGAAACAATGAGGCCTAGCTACCGCGCTCAAACTTAGTTGAGCTACGTAGATTTTTAGGGTTCGCCAACTACGTTTACAGATTTATCTCGAGTATGGCTGGGGTTACTACATCGTTAACTGACCTTTTGCAGAAGAGAGACGAGTATAGGTGGGGGGAGAAAGAGCGAGCTGCCTTCTCCTCGCTCAAATATTTTCTATGCTCCGCCCCCGTTCTTCGTATCGCTGATCCAAGCCGTCCGTTCGAAGGAGTTACAGACATAAGCGAGATCGCCGCAAGTGCTTTACTGTTGCAAGATTTCGGTGACCGCTTACAACCAATCGCGTATGAGTCAGGAAAGTTACACCCGCCTGAGCTGAACTACCATACACACGACAGGAAAATGTCGGCGATCATGCACACTTTAGAAGTATGACGATGTTACCTGATGGGCGCAGACATGACTATACGGACCGACCATCGCAGCCTACAATACTTCCGTGCATAGCCACTTCTCAACCCATGACAAAACGTCTAGTTGGATTATGTATTATGGAATCCTATTTCTATTACGCAGTAACGTACACAATAAGTGTGTCCAACATCGCCAACCATCTCTCTCACCCATCCGCCCATCTCAACCCTTTCATTCTCGCACAGGGTTCCTACTGTTAACAGCAGGGCCCAAAATATCCGGGTAAAATGCCCTGATTACTCTGATTTTCAGGGTATTTTTTCGAGCTAGGCTGATTTTTCAGGGTTTGCGATTTTATAACCCTGATTCAAAAAGTGGAGCAATTTTTTTACCCTTCGAAAACCAGGGTTTGCGACCCTCCAGCCCTGATGAAGCAGGGCAGCAAGGCAACTACCCTTAATGCGCGGTCTGGCCAGCCAAAATCAGCGCTAGATGCGTGCTGGAGACTGTGTGGGCGCTAAATGGCCCTTAGCCGAAATCAAGGCTCGATGCATGCTGGGGGCTGTGTGAGGGCGCTAACTGGCCCTTGCCAAAATCAGCGCTGGATGTGTGCTGGGGTGGGGGCTGTGTGAGGGAGGGTGCTGATTGGCTCTTAGCCAAATTTCCTCCGAAATTGACTGGAGGAGGTGTGAGGGGACCGATTGTACCTTCAAATGTTTCTGCGGATGTGTGTGTTAAAAACCTAGTCTAGGCTAGGAGGTAGTGAAGGCCGCCATGAATGTGGCGGCGGGGTCTAGCTAGGAGAGTAGGCGAGAGTGTCGAGAGAAAAAGGGTGTACGACTAGGAAGAGAGAGGAGTACAAGGAGGGGTTTGTACCCTCTACAGAAAGGTTCAGTAACAACCTACCAAGCCTATATTAAATTATAACGCATATAATTTTAACACACCCCCTAGGCTTGGTAGTGTCAAGCCCACTCACACCCCCACACCCACACACACCCACACCCCCTAACCTAGCACCCCCATTCCCTGCAGCAGCAGTGGCGGTTGACAGTGCGGTCGACCTCTCCACGGGCAGGGCGGCAACGTCAACTACGAGGGTGCGGTGGCGACGACGGCGGCGGCATCAATGACGATAGCAGCGGCGGCGGCGGCGTGCGGCGGCAAGTAAGGCCAGCGGCAACAGCAGCGGCGGCGGGGGCTTCGACAACAGCGGCGGCGGCGGCGGCGCTCGCCCCACTCGGCGACGTGACCAAACGCCGCAACGGTGGGACGGTCGGCGGGAGTCAGCCGTCGGCTGCGGCGAGGAACAGGACACAAGGGAAGAGGGGCGGGGCGTGGTCCAGCCTCACGCTGGAGGCTGGTGTGTGGGCGGCAGGTGTGGTGGCGGCAGGCGTGGCGGCGCCACGAACGTCAGGGCGCTGGCCGCAGCACGGGCACACGGCGGGAAGGTGGAACGCGGAGCCGCCACGTCAGGGCGACAAGCCCAGCACGGCTGCTCGACGTGGCAGCCATGCGACGAGGCCGCCACGGCACCTCGACATGGCCGCCACGGCTAAATGTCGAGGTCGCCACGGCAGCGCGGCGAGGGACGGTGGCGGCCCGAAAAGGACAGTAGAAAAGCGCGGCGGAAGGGTGAGGAGCACGCCCGCTAGGAGCGAACCGCTCTGAAACCATGTTAAAAACGT